AGTTTTTTTCTCTTCCTGCTTTCCTCAGCCTCCTTCTGTGTTTGCTGTATCCAGTTAAGTTTCCCTCTAAGTAGTTGTTATGTTTTGTCACTTCTTGTGTTATTTTGCATCATCTCATGTATTTTGTGTTCAGTTTGGCTTCTTCTTGCAGTGTTCTTTCGTCCTAAATACCCCATATAAACATTTAAACACTCAGTTTCCTTCTGTTCCTTGCCCTGCTCTCTCACACTGTATGCTCCTTCTTTTTTTCTTTAATCCCTCAGTTTTGCATCTCTGGCTGTGTCTTAGCTTTGCTTGTATTTTTACATGAGCTTCAGCAATAAAGCTGTCATTTGAGTTCACCACTTGTCTTCAGAGTACTGCATAGCGAGTCCTAAATCTGCCTCCTGTAGCATATTTTGCTTCATGTGGAGCTTCAAAAAAAAAAAAAAATCGGTTAGTGATAGAAAGATATAAGGCAGTTGAATGTGAGGCAGCTAAATGTTAAGGTTGAAGAAAAAGATTGTAGGTCAATTTATTTAGTTTATTTAACATTAATTGGGCCTAATCACAAATATGAGGTTCACAGGGGGTTATTTATTTGTTTTCTTGATGGATGCCAGATTTAAAACACTTTGAACCTTTACATAAGCTGAAAGAAAGACCAAGGTTGTTTGAACAAGGTAAACAAATTTTTAATTTGCAAAAGGCAAAACTGAAGTGTTGCTGGCTTCGCACAAACAAATTAGTTTTCAGGAAGAAGTCGAAGTCATTTCTCATATTATCACGTCATCCTACTTGAAAAATAAATGAAAAGGTTTAGAAGAGAAATTGTACGATGACTGAAAAAAAAATCTTAAAATGTATGAGAGGGATAAGAATGTGTTTTACTTTGTTTTGTTGTTTTTTTTGTCTTTTTATTCCTAATTCTTTCTTTAATTCTCCTACTGCTACTCTGCCTGTTAATACCTTGAATTAGTATATAGCACGACAGGCTGCTGGAGCGTCCCAGCACAGACAGACTATCTTTCAATATTTTTCACTGTATGCTGTGACTTTGTAGCTGTTCCCATTGTAACAGCTGCTCACCGTACTGCTTCTCCCTGATCCCAGCACACTATTACATAAATAGGAGAAGCAGAATTATAATATTCACACCAGCCAGCCTCTCCTGGTACTTTCCACTGTACCCTCAAGCCCTCCTCTCTCTGCAGCTTACCCATGATCATACCACACCTTACTGCCACTTGGCATTTGTTCATTTTTGTATTTTGGCATGGCTTGTACTGCCCTTATTGTGTAGTTTTGTGTAAACCTCATATCATAAAAAACTTCATAGTTCTTCCTCCAGACATTTCCAAGACTCCTTGTTTGCATCTGAAGTCCTTTGCATTGGAAGTTGAATCTTTGTCAGTAGAGTGATCTTTGCAGCTTGTAAACATCAAATATTCTTAGATACATTTCATGCAGGATTTCTTAATGATATTTGAAACTCTTTAAACATAATTTGCATTATTTTGACATCCTTGAAGGAACTTAATTGCAGTTGTAGTTAAAAGCATCAAAACTGTTATTCAAGTAAAGTAGTTTTGATGCTTTTAAAGTCCAGTGCAGCACATTAGTTTGTTATTTCATGACTGAGCAGCACATGGCTTTTAGTTTTTGTTTCTGGTGCCCTCTGTTTCACAGAGTTGCATATAGTTGTGTTTGTGGTTGATGTTTTGCACTTATGAAATTATTACAGATTTATTTACATTAAACACATTAAGGTAAAGTCTAAGTTAAATGTGTAAAGTCTTCAGCTAAGGTTGTGATGAGGTTGAACCTAATCCCACAAGATATAAAAATAATTTGAAAAAAATATGCACGAGCTGACAAAAATCCAAAGTTTATCATGACAAGGTAAACACCATTTTTAATTGGTGTAGCTGGGTACAAATCAAACAAAACAAACAAAGTGCAGAGGTCAAGAGAAGAAATTGAAGGGTATGAAATATGAAAATATGAAAAATATGTCTTTATATGGTGTGTGAGAGGGATACAATTGATATTTTTTACAATTTTTTCTCAATTGCAGTTTTATTTTCCCTTCACCATTCTTACTTTCATTCTTCACAAGTCTGTTTTCTTCATCTTATCTTCTGCTTATTTGGGTAGAATTACATTGCAAATCTAGAAACGTGTTCAATACATTTTCAGATAGTATTTGTGTCCGTTCGTATTCATGCTTGCCTCAAACCTCAAACTATAAATCCAAAAATATAAATTGTGCATGATAGCTAAGAGACGTTGTAACAGTGGGCTCGTCACATTTACAAAGCAAGTCTGAAGCATAGACACTGAACTGCTACCTGACACAATCTGTTATGTTCTCCACTCTGTGACTAGTAAAATCCAGACACAGCATCCCCATCCCCCTCTTCCTTGTTTCTGGTGACTTTAATCATGCCTCTCTGGACCCAATGTTACCATCATTTACCCAGTATGTTACGTACCTCACCAGAAGCGGCCATGTGGGAATTACTTTGTGATGACGGTGAAGACATTGGTGGTCTGGTGGATTAGCTACAGTCCATACCAACCAGGATTGTATGGTGTTTCATAAGCAATAAACTAGGGATCCCTCCTGACATCGAGGCTGTGTTCATGAAACGTGATTTAAAAATGTTTAGATTAAGTAAGTTGAGCTCTTGGAATGTTTTAATCCTTCACAATTTTGTCATTTTATTCCAATCCTATTCAATAACCTTTACCCCACTACTACTCTTAAATACTACAGGTTGTCTTCATATTACATAATGTTCAACAAAGTCTAGTCTGGTTAAAGTAAAAAATTGAATGGATTTACAACAACTGCCATCCTCCTATCTTTATCCGGGTTGCAGGATTAAAATTCTGGAAAATCATTAGTCTTCATTTGATTTGCCAAATGTTGGTCATAATACAAAATTATGTGGGGCTCTTGTCAGTAGGGGCATACAAAGTGATTAGGTTACAATGAATAACTAAATACTAAATGGTATCTCAGTACAGTAACGATAACTCCTGTCTCTGGATATAAATTAAGGGCATGAAACAGTTAAAAAAATAATCATGTGCAGGCGATCAAGGAAGCCAGCTGCTGTAATAAGATAACAGTAGATCTGTTATATACACATGAAAATGAAAGAAGCAAGACTGGACTGAACAAGTGTTCAGTGAAGTTGAGTTTAGGAATGAAGGCAGGGAAATCCACCTGCTAGCTCACCAATTCCAGAGGTAATCTCTGATAAACAATCTCTCTTTGGATGATGCAAATTTGGAGATGGCACCAGGGCTCACTACAAATAATGTTGCATTTGTTTTTATGGAACATATGCTTGAAGTCACCCTATGGCATAGGTCCTATCCTAATCAGTCAAACATGGCATAATTAGAGAAGAAACCAACTGACCACTGCAGCAGGATCAATGCTCACAGTTGCTGCAAAGTAGGCACCAGTCAAGTATCTGATTGTTAGTACCTGGAATACCAGAAGCTCAAAACAAGAGTCAACAGCAGAATAAGCTGTTTGGCACTGGCAGAGAAGAATTGGCAGGTTTGTTCATGAGTGCAACCCACAAATGCATTTTCCTTTCAAAAGTGGTAGCATTTAAGGGGAACTAAGCAGGCTTTCCGATAGTATAAGATTTACTGCAAGAAACAATGTTACCATAAAGAAATAATCAACCAAACACAAATTTCCCTACTATTCGGGCAATGTTTATGTTTAAAACATGTACTTATGCTGTAATATCTGTATGCGGTATATGTAGAAGCTGGTCCTGGTCCCTTGGTCTTTAACTCTTTGTTTTGAGTTTTGTGGGTTTGTGTTTTTTTGTGTGTGTTTTGAGAAGTGGTTTATGTTTAGTTTCTTTTAATGTTTTGTGAGAATTTCTGATCCCTGTTTTGGTCAATATTTTATTCTTTGTGACTCCAGTTTAGTTACAGATGACTTAAAGTTTTTAGATCCTTTCCTATTACATTCGTCTCCTCTTGTTTTGTCCTTTGATGTTTTCTATGTGAAAACAGTGTTCTTCTCGGGATCCTGGCTCTCTCGACCCAGTGTTTTGAGTTTTCTTGTGTCTTTGTGATTTTGTGTTGTGGATTTATGTTCAAAGTTCACTTTGTAGTTCTAGTTCGTCCTACAGTGTTTAGTGTTCTAGTTTAGGTTTCCTGTATTCTCTGTTTAGTTCGCTGAATATTTAATAGGTTTCCCTCATATATTTGCCCTCTGTGTCTCCCTCTGTGTGTCTGTGTTCATGTTGTGATGTTAGTTCTGGTGCCATGTTCCCACTCCTTGTGTTCTGTGTTTTCCTCATCCCGTCATGTGCTCCTCCATCTCCTCTTTCTCCCTCCACTCTGTGTCTGTGTACTTCCTGTTTTACTTTGAAGGTCTGTGTCTCATGTTAATGTATTTTGCTTTGCTTCCTTGTCTCCTTTGCTCCTGTGAGTATATAAGTCTTGTGTTTTCTCCTGTTTTTGTGCTGGCTTGTCTGTGTCTCTCTTTCTCTGTCTCCCTATGGATTCAGGTTTCAGCTAAGTTTCATTAGTTTCTGCCTATGCCATCTCTGATCCTGTTTTTCTTGATGGGTGAATTGTCATACTGCATATATCTTCAATCACTATAAAAAGGGAAACAAGACTTTTGGTTTGAATATAAATGTTTGTATTTTTCTTTTAAATGTGTGCAAGAAAAACTAGAATAAATAAATAAAATTATGAACAAAATCAAGAAATTATTTTGAACTACTTTTATTACTATAGTTTTTATTTATTTTGAATTAACATCCACATTGTTTCTAAATGTATTTTGTTTACACAACAAAATATTACAACATAGTTTGATTAAAGTAATTGCAACTGAAATACACAAGAGATAAATGAGACAATTACAAGATTCAAGATGTAAAATACAAATAAACAAACGAGAGAGATAATCAAACAGCACTAACCACAGTAGTCAGAGTGTATTTCAAATGAACTTTGCAAAGTAAACTAGCTCAGTAGCAAATAAAATGTAGTCTCTCCTCACAGTCATGAGCGTCCCAAACAGCCTTACTCCCTTCTGTCACCTTCAAGGCTCCACACTTAATCTTAGCATGTGGACATGATGGTTTTCTCTGTTGACCCCAGGCCTCGTAGTCCATCTCCTGCCCATCGACCCACAGCCAGTCCCGAGCCAGGAAACGCAAGCCAATCCAGATGTGATCAGTGGTGTTATGTTTGCTCAACTCTTTCTGGATCAGCAGCATCTCAGTCTCAGATGCCACACTGGCCAGGTCATCATGGTGCTCCCTGCAGTACTCCAGAGCTTCCTCCCAAGTCTTTTTCTCCTTCACCACAATGGCACCGTAACAGAAGAAGGTTTTTTTATTCTGTAGTTTTTCATCATTCCACATTTTATTCCACACACAGCCACCATCTTCATTCCCTTTAAAGTCGTTAGGTTCACCTGGTTTCCAGGAAATTCTGGATACTGCTCCACCTCCTGACCACAGCCATTGTGTTCTGTTTGAGCAATTTCTCACAAGTCCTATCCAGATAAAGTAATTGACATTGCTGGAGAGCTGCTGAAGTTTGTTGGCATCCTTGTCGTTACTGACAGGGGCCAGGTCTGTGTAGTGCTGCCGACAGTAAGTCTGAGCTTCAAGCCAATTCATTTTGTCATTAACGTGAATGTACTTTGTAAAAGTTCCAAACAATCCCATCAGGAATAGGATGCAGGTGAAGATCTGATCCATTGTTGTCTCGTTTTGAAGGGTTCTGCAGAGCAATGAGGATCCACAGAGGTTTTGGAAGATATATGCTGGAGATGTGAGCTTTGCCTGTCAAAAAGCATTTGTATATTAGGACAGCCCTTTGATTCTCGGCGCCTGTAGTTCCTGCTACCTATTCAGTAGCAGGAACACAAAACTACTTTACTTCTTGTACTTTTCCAAGCAGCAGATGAATCAAATTATTAATAACTAAAAACTTAACTGGTACCAATTTAGAATTCTAAAGTGTAACATTTATTTCTCACAGATATTGTGGCCTCCTTTGAGTAATATGTTTTTTTTTTTAAAGATGGTTGCATTTTGTAAATTTATCTTCTTAGCAGATTGGCATTTGACTTCAAACTTTTCTTTAAATCACCATAAATGCAAATTAAAAAGAAACAAATGATTTAGGATTTGCACATGATCTGGTTATTTAGTTAAAAAGAAGAACTTTATGCTAAAAACAAACAAAACAGACACTAAGGGAACAAACTGTGTTCCATGAAACATCATAAAGTTTTAGGCAGGTATGAAAAAATGGTGTAAACAAATAATGCTTTCAGAAATATAAATGATTTTTTATTGGCCCCAAATGTATTCTGCAGCAGGACAACGACCCCAAACATACAGCCAAAGTCATTAAGAACTATCTTCAGCTTAAAGAAGAACAAGAAGTAGTGGAAGTGATGGTATGGCCCTCGCAGAGCCCTGATCTCAAAATCATGGAGTGTGTCTGGGATTACATGAAGATACAGAAGGATGTGAGGAAGCATAGATCCACAAAAGATCTGTGGTTAGTTCTCCATGATGTTTGGAACAACCTACCAGCCAAGCTCCTTCAAAAGCTGTGTGCAAGTGTACCTAGAGGAATTGATGCTGTTTTGAAGGCAAAGGGTGGTCGCACCAAATATTGATCACATTTAGATTTCTCTTTTGTTCATTCACTGCATTTTGTTGATTGATGAAAATAAATGAGGAACACAAAGCATCCTTTGTTTACAGCATTCTTTCACACCTGCCTAAAACTTTTGCACAGTACATGCGCCATAGTTTCCCATTACAAGATATACATTACAAGTAGTTGCTTGGTAGAGTGGATGTTTGGGGATTTCAGGTTTTTAATCACATTTCTCCCCAAAAATGGTCCACAATGAAAAAATGTAATGATCATGCGCTTGGTTAGTAAGTAATATTTATACTCTTCTTCCTAATCCTCAAAGTTAAGACACAAATTTCAGGTTTGTGAAGTGTGATAGTGAGGTGTGGCGTGGCGTGATTGCTGATGCAGGTGTGTCAGTTAGGGAGATAGTTTGTAGGAAAGTCCTCTCTCTTTGGCTGTATCCCAATTCCGGGTCTGCAGCCTTAAAGGCCACATTTTAAGGCCAATTACGTCACAGAGACGCAACGAAGGCTGTCTCAATTCAAAGGCTGCTCGAAATGCGCCCCTCAAATGCGTCCTTCATTTCCCTGAATTTCAAGGATGTGGCGGTGTATGGGATATTGTCAGGTTTCAGTTAACGGACTCAGGCGCAGACCGGGACTCCTTAAAGGATTTACAGGTTTTATTTACACAACGACACCAGGTGATGCTATTTACAAAGTGCTGGAGGGAGGGGAGGGGGGTCCAGGGTTCCGGGGTATGTGAGGGAAAAGACGGGAATCTGACGTCCTCCAAAGGCTCTCTCTCTTCGCTCCCCACACTGGGGAAACACCATCCACTCACTCGTCCACGGGGATGACAGGCAGGCAGGGAAAGGTCCGGGATAGATCTGTACACAGAGATAAGGGTTAGAGGCGAACAGACGGAACGAACTCACAGATCCTTATTTATAATCTACTGAGCGACTGACGCTGATAACTCAACGATCCAGCGACGAGTGACACAGTGCTGCTGTCTTAAATCGGCCTTGTGATTATCC